TATCTTGCAAGGAAATTCATGATAGATAACTCATCCACTTTCCTTTGGTTTTCTATGCAGGCTTTTCTTCTGATACCGTAATATATTTTAATGAGTGAAGAAATTAAGATACTAAAGGCAGTTCTTGGACTATGAACATTAATCATACGGACAGCTCCTGCAGTTACTGGTCTTAAGTGCCATCAAGTCAGTTTTGACTCACACAGATCCTATATGGGCTTTCTTCTGAAGAGCAGCTGATAGGTTTGAACCACTAACCTTGTGGCTAATAGTCCAGTGCTTACCCTATAGTGCCACACCAGAGCTCCCACTTGTCCTTTAATACAAGGCTTTGAATGGGTTCTGACAAAGTGAAACAGAAATAGACCTGAAACGTAAAACTTGGATGATTCTTCATGGTAACTGAAATGGAAATATTACAGTGGGAGACTCAGAAAGGTACAGCAAGCCCTTTCAGGAGAGTGATACAAGAGACTGGATCATAGGCAGGACTGTGGAAAGCCATACACATTCAAAGTGACACCATCTTAGAGTAGGGCAGTGCTCTTTAGAAGTCCTATTTACATGTTCAGTAAGATTTCCCTCACTTTAAAATGACTGAATCAACCCTTATTTGCAGCAAATTCTTCATCATATCCACATTCACCTGTTGCACATGCAGCTTTGAAATTGCTGAAAAGGCTGTGAGTCTTTTCTTGCACCAAGTTGTTGTTATGGGCTGTTGAGTTGGTTCCGGCTCACACAAACCTTGCGTAAAGTTTCTGAGGCTGTAAATCTTTTCGGGATTTACATCTTTCTTCCATGGAACTGCTGACCTTGTGGTTCACAGTCCGGTGCTTACTCTATCGAACCACCACAGTCCCTTTACTTGTACTATGGTGGTGGTGTTTGTGTGCCAAGTCATTTCCCATTCATAGTGACCCTGTATAGGGTCTCTGGGGCTGCAAATCTTAACAGGAGCAGAAAGTTTCCTTTTTCTCCTGCAGAGGGACTGGTAGATTCAAACTTACGTATGACCTTGCAGTTAGCAGTCATACTCATAAACCACTATGCTACCAGGGTTCCTTGTTCTTGTACTATAGTAGGGCTTGGAGTCCTGATGTGGTGCTATGTGATAAAGCACTAGACCGAAAGGTCAGATTGAACCACAAGGTCAGCAGTTCAAATTCACCAGTCATATCTTAGAAACGCTATACAGAACTGACTCAATGGCAATTAACAACAATAACAACAACAACACAGTAGCACTAAATAAGACCCTTCCACATCAATTCCAAATGACTTACAAACTCTTAAGAACAAAGATAGGAACAGATCTCACTAATAACCCAGGGACTGCCTGTATTACAGTAAAGTCAAAAGCAACTTATAGAACAGTATATATTGTATGAATATGCTTTTGTAAAAGAAAAAGTATTCATGTATTGTTGTTAAGTGCTGTTGCGTCAGTTCTGACCCACAGTAACCCTATATAGGGTTTCCAAGGAGCAGCTGGTGAGCTTGAACTGCTGACCTTGCAGTTCAAACTGCTTGTCTGGAAAATTATATACCATAATGCTAATAACAGCTATGATATGTTGAGTGTAGGGAGTTACTTTTTGTCTTATATTTAAAGATAACATTAACTCATTTTTAAATATAAGTAAAGAAGTGATTAAGTTGCTAAATTAGAAAGTACATATTCAGAAACAATAAAATAGCTATTAATTCTCTTTGAAGATTACAAAAAACAGGTTGGAAAACAAAAACGAAGTTGAAGAAACAAAAGGAAAAGTAGGTAGGGGAAAACTAACAGATCTTATAGTTATACAAAGGGGCTTCAAAAAGTTTATAGAAACACTCCATATCTTTTCATTTAATTATCCCTGAACTTTCTGAAGTTTCTTTGTATAGCTGCTATTCTACCTGTATAGAAAGAACACCAAGCATACAAAAGCAACAAGATGTGAGTTCTGATAAAAAAAATTATACTTGATGGATTACAAACTTTAATTTTATACTAAAAAGCTGCGCATTGATATATTACTATGTTGTTGTTAAGTACTATCTAGTTGTTTCAGACTCATATGGACCCTGTATAGGGTTTCTGAGGCTTTAAATCTTTGCAAGAACAGAAAGCCTCATCTCTCTCCTGCAAAGTAATACTATAAATTATCAAAATTCATACTCATATTTAAATTTACAATCATGGGAAAATGTATTAATAAAGAAATTACTTTGGGTACTAAAAACTATAGAAAGACAATGATTGCCAGTTTCCTACTGATCCTGGAGGATCTCAATGCTTTTCAAACTATCTTCAGAAGAAATTCTAAAACAAAACCCAATCTTCATGCAACAGTGTTTGCAATATTATTATAGTATTTTTATTTAATCCATATATATCAGTAGCTACTTAGCACAAAAGCTAAAAACAAGCTTGTTAAACATACCAATATTTTCTCCTGAATTTACAGATTCTGCCCATATAAACTACACATATGAATCTAGATCCTTCTTCCTGCTTCAAAACATAGGAGTCCATAAATGTAAATAAATACGTGAATAGATACAAAAAATAGCCCTTCCATACAGAAGAATTCCAATTAATGTAAAAAAAAAAAAAAAAAAAAAAGAGAGAGAGAGACTAGGAAATCATTATTAGATAAATCCCAGGTAATGACTGTCACTATAATTATGGGCAAAAGTTTGAGAAGAAACAGGGTATTTGCATAGTTCCAAATAATCTTTTTGAAGATCTTCATTAATTACAATGAGAAAAATAGTAATTCTACAGTAGAAAAAAACAGCAGATGCCATCCACCACCAGTAATCAAACACATGAACACCATGTAACTATTGATACGATGCACTGAGAAAGGAAGGTACAGAATCACTTCTGTGTAAGTCTTCCAAAAATGAATAGCTTCAACCTAATCTTAAGAAAACATTGTTGTTGTTGTTGTTAAGTGCCGTCGAGTCGGTTCCGACCCATAGCGACCCTGTACAGGGTTTCTGAGGGTGTAAATCCTTAGGCAAACCCAAATTGAGAGTCATTATATCAGAGGACCTACTATCCTCAAGAAAGAAGAACCAGGAATGGAGTACATCCTTTGAACCTGGGGACCCTGCAGTGAAGCTCCTAGATCAAGGGAAAAATTGATGTTAAGACACATGGAGATTTCCAAGAAATGTTGAAAGTGACAAGTACCTTTCTCCAGAGCTAGCACTCTGAATCTGGACTAGCCTCCTAAACTTTGAGAGTATTAATTTGTTTGTTTAGTGGGGAAGAGACACAACACAAATAACTCAAACTAATCAATCAGTACTCTTCAAAAGTGTCAAGAAACTTAAGGAGACATAAAAGTTAAATAGAATGTGGGATCCTGGACTCGATCCTGGAACAGAAAAAGGATAGTGGAAAAACATGGAATTGAACAAGATCTATAACTTATTTTAAAGTATTACATCAACACTAATTTCTAAATTTTGAGAAATGTACTACTATTATTAAGATGTAAATACAAGAGGAAGAAAGATACAGAGTAAGCAGAAACTTTCTGTTCTATTTTTGCAACTGCTCTGTAAGTTTAAAGTTATGTGAAAATAAACAGTTACAAAAGTCCTGTTCTTATTTGCTTAATGAATGTTAATGAGTAAACTTTAAAATATTTCTAATAAGCCTAACTGAATGGTATATAAAACCACATGAATGAGCCAAAATGAGTCAATGAACTTAATCTGAAATGCACTGTAAAATGGGAACATTATACAGATCTTCTCTGAGGATTAGAAAGAACTTAAAAATCTAACAAGAAAATAGCAAAAAGCAAGTGATTTCAGAGTATAGGTTGTAGCATCACACAGACTTTGGTTCCAATACCAGCTCTCCCATTTACTCTGTGTTCCTGAGCAAATTACGTACTTCTTCCATTCAAGCCTCCGTGTCTTCCTCTACACAAAATGTGAGTAAAAGGTGAATTTAGGTTATACAGGTCTTGAGTATGAAGCTAGGATAAATTAATTATGGGTGTAAAGCATTTAACCCAGAATGTAGTACAGAGTATAAGTTCAAAAAACAATTAAGGTATAATGGAATGAGTGCTGAAAGGAGTAGCCACTCTAACTAAACCTAATGACAGAGATAGGTTCAATATATGTACAAAAGATCTTCAACCCAAAGCTGTTGAAAAGAAAATACAAACAGTTTGCTGTCTGGAAAACAAACACACTGCCCTTGAGCCAATTCTCATTCATAGTGCCCCTATAGGGCAGGGTAAAAATGCCCATAGATTTCTAAGGTAATTTTTATGAAAGCTGACTGCCTTATGGAACAGTGGGCAGGCTCAAACCAGCAGCCTTTCTGTTAGCAGCTCAGTAATTAATCAATGCACCACCAGGGATACTTGTGGAAAACATAGTTGCTTTAATTCATTAAATTTTGGGGCAAGATTCATCAGTGCTATTTAGTCAAAGGCCTGGAACAAACAAGACACATGCACGCAGATTGAGAATCACTATTCTTGATAATGAAAATCAATTTGATATTAAATATTTTTCATAAATGTTATCAGTCCTTACTTTATTCAATCATTATATTAAGAATTACTTAAATGCAAATATTGCCACTCACATTTTCCAAAACCTATGAACAAATTATATAAGATCTCTTAATTCAGTGGTTTCCTAATGAGTTCTAACTTTCAGAATTTAAATAATTTAGTGAAAAGACAACATAATACAACATTAAAAAATAGTTGTACATCAAAGTTATAGTCCACTCAGGATTTTTAGTATGACAAAAATGTTAATAAAATCATTACATTTCACATTGATTATAAAATTACCTATCATTTAAGGTCATAATTAGAAAAATTCACAATCAGAGCTGTTTTTGTTTTAAAAAAGATTTTCTATATATGTACCTGACAATAATCTAAAATCAGTATCATATATCTGTACCTTTCATAAAACAACTCAAAAACCCTTCAAAGGTGTAAAGGGTAAAGCTGCACACTTACCAACACCATGGGGCCGACTTAACCTTACAGGATTAATTTCAAATTTTTGGACATGAGGTGGGTATTCTTTCCTAGAAAAGGAAATTTACATAGTTTAATTCTAACAGAAAATGTAGTTTTCAAAGTGAAAAGTTGATGGCATACTTATATTTAAAACAAATTAAGGATTATTTGCCATGTAAAAAATGGTATTATAAATTAAGACCATACCACACACATATAAGAGACCTGGTGTGGTGATGTAGGGTAAGCACTGGACTACTAGCCACAAGGTCAGCAGTTCATACCCACCAGCCACTCCTCGGAAACCCTGTACAGGGTTACAGAGTCAAAACCAACTCCTCAGCACTTAACAATAACAACAACACATACCTAAGTGATCTAAACTTTAATTAAAAACCACTGATGACAGCAACTACAGTCTCTTCTGGTGTGTGTGTGTACATGGTGTGCAAACTGGGCAGTTCTCCACACCTAAGTTTCCTATATGTGAATGCTATTTACATGAGTGTATGTTAGAAATACGATATAGTTTACTTAAATTGTCAATCTATCAGAGCTAATAGCAGACAGGCTTTTCCAATAAATACTTAGTAAATGACTACAAACTACTGTTCTTTCAAACTATTACTATAGAAAGGTATAGTTATTAATAAAATACACAAACCTTTAAAAAAAAAAAAGTTAGCACTGTCTTCATAACCAATGTATACAAATCACATTAAAACAGAACTTATAATATTTCAGTCTTGAATTTAATAATTATCCATTTTAATGATACTCAAAATTTGTCAAATTTACTCTAATTTTATTTTTTATAATCAATGATTAATGCAATAAATGTTGAATAATTATTGGCCTTGAGACAATTCCAAATTAATTTTTTAAATGTTATACATACAATCAGCATTATAGAACAAATACTTTTAATCTTGTAATATAACAATAGAGACAGAGACATAAGTACACTTATTTTAAAGGATTAAGTTACTTTATTGTCAGACTTCACATACAATGTTGTTACTGTTGTTAAGTGCCATGGATTCAGTTCCGACCCATAAGGACGCTATACAGGGTTTTCAAGGAGCAGCTGATGAGTTTGAACTGCTGACCCTGCAATTCAAACCAGCCTTGTGATCAAGTGCTTATCCTACAGCGCCATACAGATTTCTAAAATTTTGCACATAATCCTTTTGAGTGTCCTAAATAATATATAAGTCCAAATATTTAATAACTTGGAGAACAAATATGTAATAACTTGGGGCGAATCCCTCCCACAAAGGCCCCTATAGCTAATTATGGAATAAAAGTTTAAATAAGATAATTATAAAACCAAGTGCAACTGAGCAGAAGCTACAATAGCTAAACACTTTCCCACTCTAAGTAAAAGCTTCTGAAAGTATTCCCATTTTATTTGACTAGAGATTAAAAAAGGGGGAGACTATTCTATAACTGATGTTCCAGTGTGGCACTGTAGAATAAGCACTGGACTGGGAACCCCCAGGCCAACAGTACAAACCTACCAGTCTGTCCTTGGAAACGCAATACACAGTCGCTATGAGTTGGAACTAACTGGGACTTCACAACAACTGTATGATTTAGAAGTTTATTTACACTTTTACATTATGGTGCTGTAGGATAAGCACTGGACTGCCAACCATAAGATTGGCAGTTCAAACCCACCATTTGCTCCTTGGAAACCCTATATAGTGTTGCTCTGAGTCAAAACTGACTTGACAACACCTAACAACAACAACAACAACATTCATTACAGAGTAATGTAAGGATTCCTCAAGAATTGTTGTTGTTCTTAAGTGCCACTGAGTTGTTAAGTATCAGGGAGTCAGTCGGTTCTGACTCATAGTGACCCTGGAGAGGCTTTCTGAGGAGTGGCTGATGAGTTAGAAGTGGTTAGCAGTCCAGTGTTTATCCTACAGCACCACACCATGACTCCATACTTGTAATAACAGTAATTACTGTGTGCAAATGTGCTAGGAAGTGTTCTAAAAGCTTTATATCTATTACATCATCTATCTTCACAAGAATCTTATGAACTATGTATTCATAACAAAAAGGTTAACTAACTTCCTCATTGTCTCACAACTATTAAATGGCATTACTAGAATCTGAATCCATGGTGACTGTATCAATATCTATGTGTGACACTTTCAGTATTGCTACAAACCCAACAGCCATTCCTTGGAAATCTTAGATACGGTCGCTATGAGTCAGAACTGACTAGACGGCACTTAACAACAAAAAACAAGTAACAGCTGGCACAATCGTAATTTCCACTCTGACATAATTTTAATTTTTGTGAGGATATAAATTGGAAAGAGCAGCCCTGGTGGCAAAAGGAGTTAAGTGTTCCATTGCTAACGGAATAGTTAATTGTTTGAAGCACCAGCTGCCACTCCAAAGATTTACAGACTTGGAACTCCTGTAAAACAGTACTACCCTGCCCTATAAGGTCAATATGGGTTGGAAATGACTCAATAGCAATGGGCTTGGTTTTAGAGTTCTGAACACGAGGACTTGCCTCAGATGGTGTAGCACAGCCGCGTGAGGCTATAGGATCAACACTGGACTGAGAACCACAAGGTAGGCAGTTCAAATCCACCAGCTGCTCCTCGGAAATCCTACGCACTGTCGTTGTGTCAGACCTGACTTGACAGCACTTTTCAACAATGGTGGAGTAGGATAAAGCACTAGACCGAACACAAGGTCAGTTTGAATTACACGTGTCAGCAGTTTAAACTCATTGGAAATGAGCCACTCATTGGAAACTCTATAAAGGGTCCTTATCAGTCTGAACAGACTCTCTGGCACTTGACAACAACACTTGACTTTAAGGTCAAACTGAAACACAAGGTCAGCAGGTCAAACTCACCAGCCGCTCCTCAGAAACCCTATACACTTAACACCAACAATTATATTATGGAGGCCAGAGGCACCATAAGATAAGCACTAGATTGCAAACCACAAGGTCAGTGGTTCAAGCTCGCCAACCTACAGGGTCGCTATTAGTTAGAACTGACTCCACAGCAAATTAACAACAATTATACGATATTAAGCTTAAAAACAAGTATATGTTTATTTTTGATACATTTTCATAGAGTACTATCTATCCTTAAATTAAGTCTAATTCCTAGACTTAATTTAAGTGGTGCTGTGAGTTAATGTGCTGGACTGCAAAGTCGGTTTGAACTGCAAGGTTGGCAGTTTGAACACATCAGCTGCTCCTAGGAAACCCTATATAGGGTTATTATGGGTTAGAACCAACTCGATGGCACACAACAACAACATACTTAAAGCTCTTAATTTTAAAATGCAACAAAGGCAACAAGCATCGGTAGTAAAATATGATACTACCATGGCAAACTCCAATACCTGGATGAAATAAACAGTGTTGTTCGTAAGTGCCATAGGGTCAATTCCAACTCAAAGAATAAAAGAACGAAAAGCTACTCAGTCCTTTGGCATCCTCACAATAGATGTTAAACTGCTGTCACTGTGCCAATCCATCTCATTGGAGTGTTCTTCTTTATCATTGACTCTCCACATTACCTAGCATGACGTCCTTCTCCAAGGACTGGATACTCTCCTAACAACATATCATGAGAAATCTAGTCATCCAGGATTCCAAGGAGCATTCTGCTTGCATTTCTTCCAACACAGATTTGTTTGTTCTTCTAGCTGTCCATGGTACTTTAAATATTCTTTTCCAACACCATAATGCAAATGGAACAATTCTTCTATAGTCTTCCTTATTCACTTTCACATGCATACAAAGCTACTGAAAATATCATCGATGGGGTTGGGAAAACTTTAGTCCTCAAACTGACATTTTTACTCTTGAACATGTTGAAAGAGGTTTTGTGCAGCCAATTTTCCTAATACAATAGATCTTTTGATTTCTTGACTGCTACTTACGTAAGTGTTGATGGTGGATCCAAGCAAAACAGTCTTTGGTGACTTCAATCTTTTCTCCACTTTTCGTGATGTTATTTATTGGTACAGTGGCGAAGATTTTTGTTTTCTTTATACTGAGTATACCGAAGGCTGCGATCTTTGATTTTCATCAATATGATTTTAAGTCCTTTTCATTTTCAGCAAGCAAGGTTGTATCATATAAAGAGTTTTCCCCTAAGCCTTATGCCACATTCTTCTTCATACAAACCAACTTCTCGGATTATTTACTTAGCATACAGACTGAATACATATGGCAAAAGAATACTATCTGGCAAAAGAATACTATCTTGGCATACACCTTCTCTGATTTTTTTTAAAATTTAAATAATCTTTATTGTTCAAGTTAATTGACAATGTTAGGGAGGAAAATTCACTATTAATACAAAGAGCTGGAAGACTGATACACATAGCTTCAGAATTTCTGCTACTCACAAAACTCTAGATTTTATTCAGGGTTTACAGAAAGGGGTCTGTCTACAAACAAGCTAATAATAACAGGATGTGATATGATATAATCTAAGCTAGAATTTTTAGACCCCTGTAGAGACTTACATACCCATAGCTAATGTTATAATTGTATATTACTTAGGTTCAAGTTCTTTCTTCAAAGAGTCAACAGAATAACATGGATTGAAGAGACTTTTGAACACTTGCCATCTCTTGCTGCATAATTTTTTTCTACAACATAGCTCTTATTTTCTAAGTTCATTTTGTGCACCACTCAGAAGATTTTCATGATTATTCTCCATTTCCTGCATACTCTTTACAAACTGCTCATATAACTGTTTAACTGCTTTCAGTCTCTGGATCTGAGCAATTCTACATTGTTGAAAAATCTTTTGTTGTTGTCATAACATATTAGTCAGTTTTTCTTCTTGTTCCTCAATTTTCTGCATATCCATATCCCACTGCTAAAACAAACTCTGAAACTGCTGAGAATATTCCTGGCTAAATTTGCATTTTTGTTCTTGTTGTGCTTTCCAAACACTTTCAATTTTCTGGTTACTGTTTTTGAAAGAAGCCTTGGTATACAGTTCTAATTTCTTTTTCTTTGCAAGAAAAGCCTTTGTTAATTAATGTCAGCTCCAAATCTTTCCAG